CACACACACACACACACACACACACACACACACACACACACACATAGGCATACAAACACACAAATACACACACAGCCAGCCAGCCGGACAGACCAGGAACAAAATCAGCCCACTTTCTTACAGCCGTAGAGGTTTTACTTTATAAACATTATTTTGAAAAATCTGAAGGAGTAAATGTATCTGTTTGATAAATGTAGGGTAATAAGTGGTGCACTAGGACCGTTGGAGGAGAGAAAACCACAACAATAACATTGTTATAACGTTTTCTTGATGCAAGTGCCAGCACGATTTAAGGATTAAAGTAGCATAAAGTATGTGCTGTGAGGTAGAGGCTCCAATTTGAGGAAGAAACCAGGGGAACACCACAAAGAAAGTGAGATTAAAACAAGGAGATCGGGGTTTTTGTGTTTGCTTTTTTTTCTTGTTTGCTTTTTTTTTTTTTTGGTGGGGGGGATTTTTTGTTGTTTGCTTGTTTATGTTGTTTATTTGTCTTTCGTTTTCGTGGTTCAACATAAGAACAAACAGGAGCAGCAGCAACGTACGTAGAGCATCATCCTGTTGTCCCAAATAATCTGCATACAGAACTGGGTGTTGATGGTCAGCTTGGCAGTGTCGCCCTTCATCTGGCTGATGATTTCGATGATGTCATCTTTGAACTCCAGCGTGTTTCTGTCCAGGCCCTGGGACGCACACAAACGCAGACATGTACTTTAGCCAACAAAAAACAACAACATTGTGTTAGCTTAATTAGCCTGGTTATTCCGCTTACATTAACTTACTGAGGACGCACATTTTGGTCATTCGATAACCGCTTGAAGGCTTTCTGTTTTGGGGATCTTAAAGCATAAACCTCGTTACTCATGCAGAAGTGTCAATTCTTTATCTACACTTTTAAAAGGCTGGCAGCAACAAGCATAAGTATCATGAAATAGGCAAATTAGTGTTTCTGGTTTGTGTTTGGCGGCTGGAAAAGTGGCACAACATTAAATTTAGCTTTTGTTTGCTGCTGCTGATCGAACAAAGTATGGGTCTGCTACGCCATTCAGGAGCTACTAAGACATAGGTGGGTGCAAACACCTCCTCCGTGGGTTAAAGCAAAACATACCCCCCCCCCCCCATGTCTTTGCGCACACAGACAGTCACAGCGAGTTGTTTACTGTTACTGTACGCATAATATCAAACCCACACTTTCCTTCTATACAGGTTTATTTATTGTTCTCCGTCCCAGTTTCCATTAGAAGGACCTTTCTCCTTAGACCTAAAGCTGAGCCAAGAAATATCATCGTTGTTTTACTCAGATGTTATTAGGACATGGTTGCTAGGACAAAGGCTACTCGTTTAGACTGATTAGATACTTTTGGAACTTTCATCATTTGATTTACAAGAGTGAAAAAAGAATTTGTATTAATTTAAGAATAACAAACTTACGTCAACTTGGAATCTGTTTTCTGTTTTGAACGTATATCGTGTGCCGTTGATCATGAGTTCAAAACCTTTTGTGAAGGTCACACGGTCAGTAGGTTTTTTGTGGATGTTCATAGACATCACACTGGAAAAGTAAGCAAAAAGCATGTGACTTTTACATTGTATCCCAACATACGAGCTCATATAATGTAACGTGGGTTTTGCTATATCATATTAAGGACTGATGAGGCACCTGAGGTCTATTTTGGCTATTACAAGACCTAGAGTGCCGATATTTGCTGTGGGACATCGTGTGTTATTGGGGATTTTAAATCAATTGTTCAAAAAGTATATTGTGAATCGGTTGCTATGGAAACAGCGGCCATATTGGATTTTGTATACCTTTTTCAATCCCATTTTATTTCCTTATTTATAAACCGATTCACTTCTAATTTGGCATGCCAACAGTACATATGTAGCTCTTAAATTTTGCTTGTTAAATTTTTGATATATCCTTAGATTTTATGACATTTACAATTGAGATGTTGCAAAAAAGAGAAAAAAATTGAACATTCATGCTTTCTAAGCCCATAAATCAAAAACTACTACATTAATCAAAAATTCAACAAGCCAAAATTTAGAACTAGGTGTTGTTGGTATCCTGTGAAAGTTACATTAAAATTGAATAAGAAACAGAGCAGAAAAATGGGACAATATGCGAAAAAATAGAATTGTGAGAAAACAGTCGATACAGGTAAGAAAAGGCTAGACAACATGTGCTTTCGCCGAAAAACCTGACCAAAAAACACAACTTTAGGGTGTAGCAAGGCTTACATACGTTTCTGGATATTGTTCAGGAAGTGTCCAGGTACATGTAATAAAGCCAATTTACAAAATTTGACTCCCAAACACGATTTCTAGGTGCCCCACCAGCCCTTAATAATGATGCGTTCTTTTAACTTCCAAATAATAGGTGTAACGGCATGTTCAGTAACTCGTAACTAATGTGTTTCCAGAAATGAAATAGTGATTCTTTATTTTGCTTAAATTGAAGATTACTCTACAAGAGCCGATGGTGTACTGAAACAAGGCGTTTAAAAGATAAATGTGATGTAAAATAAGAAACTTCAAACCAAAACCAAACCTCGACGAACCTGAAAGCTGGGAAATCTTCGCTCGCAACGTAGGCGTTGCAAGTTGAGATGAAATTGTAGGCGCACCGACCCTGGAAGTCGTATCTCTTACCGTCCAGAGTGAGGTAATGGGGGTCACCCCGGGAAGCGCACTGGTGCACCTCTGCGAGCAGAAAAGGGGGGGGGGGCAGGAATGTTAGGTTTCAATTTTGTCAAGAGTTATACGACCCTTGCAACACAAGCAGATCACGCAAGTGCCCAAGATTAGAGGTGTTACTACTAGAGAGTAACATACAAAGAAAAGGAGGAGGATGAGAAATAAGGACGACAGACTGATGTTTGATAGGAAAGAAGGAGCAAGCCATACCAGAATGCCCTCCAATTATCCACAAGAGAAGAGCAATATTAAGAATGGTGTTATCTGCAGGAAGTACCACAGTGGTTAATGAAATTAAATACTAATAATAAATAGCATTTGTATAGCACATATCCCAGCTCTAAAGCAAGCTATATACGCTTATTACCTTAGCATATCATAGATCACTAAAATATATTCTCAGCTTCCCAAGAAGCATACAGGGCAAGCAGCTGATTAAGCGTTCAAGCACAAAAAATTCAGCCAAATGTAACAGTATGGATAAACATGCCATTGTGAAAGGTTTTATTTTAGTGTTAAGTGTGGTTTTCGACAGTCGCTAATATCTATAATCAAGCAAAGATAGGCACTATATTGAGCCATGACGTACTTTCACACGTTTCTTTAGTTTTTGAGAAATCCCCAGAGTATTAACAAATTCGTAAATGGTTTCCAAAAGTGTGCTTTAAGCTCATAAAAATGTTCTTGAATAATTAACATGGACTGTCAATACCAAGAACAAGAGCACAGCCGCCAGTCTCACGTACCATAGTCCACTCCATTCATCGTGCAAGTGCCAGAACCAATCTTCTCGTTCCCTGTTTTTCTTGGCGGTGGCCTTTCACAAATAGCACCGTACGGTGTCATTTTGCACTCTTTCTTCCTCTTCTCGCATTCGTTACGGACCAACGTGTGTCCACAATCCAGCTCGTCTGAAATAGGTATCAATATTTGAAATCTAAGTATTAAAAAAGCTTAAACCTGATAGAGCTGAGGCGACATCGAAACAGGAAAGAGTACAACAAGCTACTAACCCCCCCCCCCCCCCCCCCCGCAAAAATCTTTAAAATAAGATTTATGTATTGACTCCATCGTCAGAAAAGGCACCGTAATGATACCTTAACTAGCTCTAATCGATGACACCATTGTGGCAATTCTGATTATAGAAGGTCATCAGTCTTTTAGGCAACACGATATAAAACTCAGGTCTAGAGTACTATAATTATTCCATTCTTCTTTTAATTGTTGTGAACGTGCCTCACTGCTAGAGTTAATAAAAGTTTTTAGTAATGTCTAGTGTCTAGCATCTTTCTTTCAAATGACGTACACGCTCTTTATGATGTGTGAACGACGTCAGGTTGACTGTTACCCACAGAGCCGAGAAGACGTTCAGAGCCGAAAAAAAAGAAACAGACCCCCCCCCCCCTAAAAAAAATTATTATAAATTATAATAATATTAACCCCCAAAAAACAAACAAACAAACAAAATACTTGCTGATTTCAAAGGATACTTCACATGAAACTCACAGATGTCAAAACAAGAATATTTTCGTCCCTACATCCCATGGCGCAAGGCAGAACAACTATGAGGCACGAGACATACGTGTTAGTGATGCTTTAGAGCATAGAGCAATGGTTGTCAACCTTTTTACTTCTTTTAAAATGTTTGGTCAGCGCTCCTACGTGCATCGCCAATTGGTGCATAAAATGACACCTGTAACTACACAGATGATCCCCAACGCCCATTTAAACTAACAACTCGCCCACAAGTGGGGAATATCGCCTGGGTTGGCAAGCGCTGCTTTTGAGGCTGAAACGTTTCACAATTCCAAAGTACGTGAACTGAGAAAGAGTTGGAAGATACGACTACGTACCAAATCCTTTTTTTTTTTTAAACTATGAGGCGTCTTCGTAAGTTTGTGTTACCAAAAATGCAGCCGTACTGAAGAAGAAAAAATTCCAATGCCAGTGTTGCCATTCAGTAAGATGACAGGTCCGATCCAAAATGAATTGTTTCTTTTGAATGAAGTTACAGAGAGTGGTTGCATAATATAGGCAAACGTATTTGGCTGATCTAACATAGGAACAAACATTCCACCCCGAAACATGATGGTCTTATGAAAGTAATGTCCTATTAGCTAAAGCATAACAGCTTTGAAGTAGATTTCAGAACCTGGGTAAAGAATGACGTGTGTAATCGTAATTTCAGTGCAGAAAGAAGTAAACTTAAGTAATGAAAAAACTCTATCAGTTAAAGCATAACAGCTTTAAAGTAGGCTGCAGATGTTAAGTATAATATATTATAGAAGTAGTATGTCATCGTAATTTCAGTGCAGAAAGAAGTAAACTTACAAGCAGAAATGCACTTGAATCTCACTTCGAAGTCGGGACAGGCTTTTCCATTTTTCTGCTTCTTGTTGATGCAATGAATTCTGTTGTCTTTACAGGCTTTCCTTAGTACGAGTCCATGTCTATTTTGTGGGGAGTAGAGCTCTTTGGTGTCACTGTCGCGACACTCCATAGCTAGTGGTTCAGGGCAAAGCCGCAAGTCAGGGATGTTCTGAAGAACACATCAATGTTAAAAATTCAATGTCCGTTTCTGTAACTCTGGAGGTTTACCGTGAAGGCTAACGAATGGATAAAGGCTAACAAAGGTGAACTATGGATTAACTGTGCTTCAAGAAGGACAAGACTATTAGAGGAATCTCTTTTCTGGATAGTAGACGCTCAGCAGGTCTAATTTTAAGACAGATGCAACATCTTGTTTTAGTAAAAGTTTTACGGCACTTGCAACACCATAAGGTCATATAAGTGGCGTAGGTTAGAGGTGTAGCAAATACAAAAATGAAGGATCGAAGATGACATAATATCTGTTTGGTAGAAAAGAGCAAGCAAACCACACCAGAGCACCCACCAACCAACCACAGATGACACACCACATTATCATACATCATGCTGTTTCTGGTTTAGACGCAGGTTCTGCAATAACTCAACTAAATAATCCTATATTCGAATTCAAAGACTCTACCTTTGCAAAAGTGCCTGGTGACTTGCAGATAACCCTTTCCTGAAACTTTTCAAGATATGGATATTTTTTTCTTCTGTCACAAGCAATTTCAAACTATGGAAATAACTGCTATGCACACGGCTGCTACCTCCC